TCATCCCTTCCATGGTACACCTTGAATGCCACATTTAGGGCTTCTGACTGTGGAGTTAAGGGGCCCTTTTCTAGACGTCTGAGTTTGGCCCTAATATCAGGGTAACTTTGGGAAAAAAAGTAGGTCATAAGGAGTTGGTTTCCATCTTGAGTCTCAGGATCCACATTGGTGTATTGTAAGAGGGCCTTTGTAAGACGGTCTAGGAATTGGGATGGGTTTTCATCCTTGTCCTGGATGACCCTTTGGATCCTTTCATAATTTACTGCTTTAAGAGCAGCCTTACGGAGACCAGCCAGGAGACAAGTTAAAAACCGCTTCCTAGCTAGAATGCCCCCTGGGGTATTGTAATCCCAGTCAGGTTCCTGGTCAGGAACTGCCATAGATCCAACTGGGTAGGTATCATCAGTTTGATGGATGTCATCTGCATAGATTCTAGCCTGTTCCCAAACTCGCCTGCGTTCCTCAGGGAGGAGATTGTTGGTAAGAATCATATAAACATCATGGAAGGTAAGGTTATAGGACTGGGTAATATACTGGAATTCTTTAATAAAGGTGGAAGGGTTGGCACTATAGGATCCCAATCTTTTGTCTATTTGGGAGAGTTCAGTCAATGAGAAGGGGACATGAACTTTGACTAAGCCATCCACCCCAGCAACCTCTCGCAAGGGGAGAACTGGAGCTGGTTTAGGTTGGGGAGGTAAAGGGTGTGGTCCCTTAGTGGAGCGGGACCGAGTAGTGGGAGGACTAGGGACTGTTGGTGGTGAGCTGAAGGAGGGTGCCAGTGAATGCTGACTAGGGTGACTTGTCACTGAAGAGGGAGGAAGGGAAATCGGAGGGGCCAGCACAAGAGGGGGAGCTGAGGGTTTTGTTCGACGGGGAGAAGGCTCATTGGCTGGATCAAAAGTAGTAGAGGGATCATCTTGTTCAGACTTCCTAGCCAAAAGGAGTTGAGTGGGAGAGCATGAGGCACAGAGAGAAGGCTTGGAGCGTAGCAGAGAGAAAGCCTGGACATAGAAAATCTCCTTCCATTTCTCCAATCGCTCACAGTAGTTGTAAAGGTCCCGAATAATATTGGGATCGAGGGTGCCATTACGTGGCCATTTGGACTGATTATCTAAATGGTATTTAGGCCAAATTTTATTGCAAAAGCGAATAAGTTTAGAACCCTTTAGTTCAGGTGTCAGGTGTAGAGACTTGAGGTTTTCTAGGAGGCATCCCAAGGGGGAATGGGAGGGTACGGATGACACGGTTCCCATGGATGAGAAGGAAAAGGTCACTGCAGCCTGTAGTCAAGGGCGTCCCCAGGACTCAGGGAGGACCACCGAAAGAGGACCAAGCCGTTCAGAGGGTCGTCACCCAACTCAACGGGGGTCAGGCTTAGCCCGGCTAAGCCAGAAGAGACTCGGCGCCTGGTACCAGGGCTTTTCTAGAGGCCAGAAGGCGTAGACGGAAACCGAGCTCTAAAGGGGTCTCATCCAAAGGAAAGGGTCAGGATTGGAATCGTAGAAGCCGCAAGGGCCTAGAGGAGCTGTGCAACGACAGCCAGCTCCAAGGGAGGAGGTCAGGAAGGGACGCAATGACCCGGTGGGGCCTAAGGAAACTGCAGGGTTGCAATTTCAAGGGTGGTAGGATGGGGTAAAGTGAGGAGGGTCAGCTGTAGCCTTAAGGGCCTTGGCTGGGGTACCTCCGTCTCTACAAGTATCCCTGACTTAGGGAGCTGAAACACCAAATGAAGGGGAGACTTACCCAATCGTTGATGGTGGATGTAGTGTCAAGCGATTGGTGAGCTGGAAGGCGAGTCTGCTGCAGGCCAACTGGAGATGAGAGATAGGGTCCCAGTGCGGCTCAGACCACGAAGGGGAGCACAGGCACCAGGAGAGCCTATCCAAGTCACGGGTAGACTGAAGATGAGGGATAGGATCCCAGTGCGGCTCAGACCATGAAAGGGAGCACAGGCACCAGGAGAGCCTATCCCGGGTTTCGGCACCAAATGTAAGCGTTTCGTCGGGATGGGTCAGGACAGGATGGAACAGGAGTGAGTGGGTCAGGTATTCTGGCACTCGGGAGTCACAGAATACCCAGTGTTACACAGCTCAGGTGGAAAGGTATCCTGGAGCTCGGGAGCCAAGGATACTGAGTGTTACACAGCTCAGGTAGAAAGGTATCCTGGAGCTCGGGAGCCAAGGATACTGAGTGTTACACAGCTCAGGTAGAAAGGTATCCTGGAGCTCGGGAGCCAAGGACCACCACAGGTTGCAGTAAGCTTGGCAGCTTACAGCCTTGCCTCAGAGAAAGGCTTCTCCGGTGTGTCAGCTCCGCTCCGGCAGGACAGGGTCTTCCAGCTGGGGATGTTCGCCTAGTGTAGCAGTTTTGCTCCGCAGGAGGTTTCTCGGGCGAAGTTGCTACAGTTCAGCTCTGCTCCTGGAGAGCCGAGCGGAGAGCAGGGAGCCGGGCGGGAGCAGAGTGTAACAACTCCGCTCTGCCAAGGAAGGTTTCCCGGGCAAGTGTTACAGCGCTGCTCGCTCTGCTCTGCTCTGCTCTGCCCAGGGTCGCCTCTGCTCGCTCTGCTCTGCTCTGCCCAGGGTCGCCTTTGCTCTGTCGCAGCCGCAAAAGAAGATCTTCACCCCGAAGCTCATCCAAAGGTGTTTATTGGAAGACAGCTGGACCAGCCAAGCTGAACATACACAGGGTTTATATAGGGGTTCCTGGGGTTGGGGAAGTTTTTCCAGGGTAGGGATTGGTCCGATTTCAGTGCTGAGCTCAGATTGGCTAGAGCTCTGCTCCGGGATTGGTTACTTTTTTACACAGGATTAGGGTCAGATTTGGCTCTGGTTTCAGGGCCAAAGTGTGTTTCTTTCTCTGGTCCTTTTTAGCCTTTTGGCTCCAATTTTAGGGCCAGGGTACATTTCTTTCACTGACTCTGATTCCAGGGACAAAGTGTGTTCCTTTGGCACTGGTTTTAGGGTCAGGGTACATTTCTTTGGTTCTGGTTGCAGGGCCAAAGTGTGTTTCTTTGGCTCTGCTCAGGGTGTGTTTCTTTGACTGGTCCCTTTTCCCTACACCACTACCACCAAACAAACAAGCAAAAGGAAGCCCCGAGCTGTCATTGGCGTGATAAAATAGAAAGCCAAACCCACAAATATCAAAAATAATGATAAAGGAAGGCAGGGGGAGTGGACGAGGGACGGCTAAAGAAAACTCAGCTACAGGAAAAGCAGGAACGCGGCCGGGTCACTGTGGGCAATCACTGTTTTGCTTACTGCGGTCAGCTCAGCGGGGGTTGGGGGTGGGGTGGGGGTGGGGATATAAGCAGCATCAGTCAATCCAGGAAGGGAAAGCTGACACTGCCTCTTTAGAAACAAGGTTTATTAAGAGAAAGGATTTTCAAAACCATAACGGGGCCTCAAGGTGGGAGACAGAACGTTAGATGAAGAATGGTAAACGCCCACACAAGTCACACCTGACTTAAAGGGAAGGAGAGACTTGCTTTTAAAATCTAGGGAGGAGCGTTATTAGGAGTGAGAATAAGAGAAAGAACGATGGTCTTTAAAGGAATGGGGGTGAAGCCAGAGAAGCCTCTTCAGAGGAAACCCAAGAACAGAATCCCAGGAACAAAGGCAATAGTATATGAACCTTTACGGGTTTTGGAGGGGCAGGGGCTATAAGTTTCACGTCGTGCGAGATTAAGTTCAAGGTGGCCAGGATAGCAAAGATCATGGAAGAGTCAGGTAACATAAATTACACACAGACTGCTTCCTAACTTGGCCCCACGAAGAGCTTTCTGAAGAGTGGCTTGACCTCTTTCAACTGCCAGTAAAGCCTTTTAAGGGTGACCCCTGTCTTAAAGGGGCAGGCCTATGTCTAACAGGTAGGAAGAGGAAAGTCAGCTACCTCCCCCCATCCCACCCCACCCCCTTGGCCTTCCAAGTCCCCCAGGCTTAGCCTACTGCTGCTACATTAATCTCTAACTCCATCTGGCCTAGACCCACCGAGAGGCCGCTGGACTTACGTGCTCGGAAAGTGACACTGACACAGGAAACAGGGCTGGAGAAGAGTGGGAGAAGGGGACCAGATAAAAGCAGAAAGGAGAGGGAAACCAGCCATCTTGGGAACACCCAGAAAGATCTTGGGATGTCATCTTGACTTTTTTTTCCCTAAGGCATCCAGATTTTCAGAACCTTCTTTTGATCTCGATAGCAATGGCCCAGCTTCCCAGTGCAGTCTGACAGCCACCTTGCTTGAGGATTGGTTCCCGAGATCCCAAGGCTTGAGCTGGACTCTGCAAAAGAGCCTCCCTAATTCACCCCTGGGTTGTGGGCCTCCAGGCTCGGAGCAGAACCACAGAGCCCCCAAGGGATTAGGCATGACACGGTTTGTAGTTCCCAGATGTCACTTTTTCTGTCAGGATTCACTCTCAGTGACAAGACTTTTTATGGTAGCCGGAACACTCAGGAGAAAGAGCCTTGAGGCAGATGTTCTGAATAACAAGGAGAGAGCTGCAGGGAGACTGTGGACAGAAAACCCTGCTCACTGGCCGTGTGTCTGAGAGGAGGAGGCGTAGCCTCAGAAGACCCAGTCAGTGTCTGGGGTCTGAATTTTTACCAAACACCGCGGGTTGTGATTCTTTTGCTCCAAATGGGTGGAAAGAGCTTCCGTGATTGACAGTTCCAGGCATTTGAGTGCTGAGGGTCCACAGGCTCGGAGGCTTTCAGCTCTTGGCCACAGCGGCTGGTCCCTGTCTCCCCCACCCCAACCCTCCCACCCCTGCAACCTCCCCAGCAACCAACTATCCAGGACTTGTGATAGGCACTGGCCTTGGTGGTGTCAGGCAGTGGCCAGCATTATGGTTCTCATACGGACTGGGTGTGGGGACCTAGCTCCTAACAGCAGCCAGGGTTAGCAGCGCTTGGTCCTTGGCTACCAGGACTCTCAGCTCTTAAGGGGTAGCAAGAGAACAAAGACAAGACAGGCTCATGCACAGAAACAACCAGGGCCGAATGGGATCTGGGACGCTCAGCATGTTGATGATACACGGTGGTAGAGACAGACAGTGTAATTGCATACGGCTGAACAAGGAGGTGGATTATTAAATACAGATAAGCAAGGTGGCAGGGGTTTGGACGTACAGCTGGATCAAGAAGACAGATTTAGCTAAGCTCAGTAAGAGAAGTCCCTGTAGGGGAGCCATCTTCAGACCATAAATAATCTGGGAGGAGAAAACTATGGGGGACACTTTTGCTCACACTATCAACATCTACACAGGGACCCCTGAGGAGACTGTCGTTTTCTATCTGGTCTAAGGTCCTTGATGGCTGTGCCTATGTCAGTAACACACATTCACTCAGGCTCCCCACACCAGCCTTTGGCCTCCACAACCCTCCACATTCCTGGGTCATAGCTCCCCACCTCCTCCTGCCTTCTCCTATCTCAGCAGCCTACCCGTTTCTGCCTCCAGTCAGTCTCCGGAATTCTCCAGAACCTTTATGCCTTGACTATAGTTTCCCGCTACTATCTCTGCCACTGTTGTCTCCTCTGCAAGTTACCAGGGTCAGCCATCCCCACCTGTGATGAAGCAGGCAAGAAAGGATCATTCAGGAGACGCCTCTTACTGGGTCCAGTGATTCAGAGGCAAGGGACAGTGTTAATCCAAAAGATTCGAGGAGAAAGGCTGCCATCCATGCCTGGATTAATCAAAGCAGGCAATTAATTAAAACCAGCTTTCTTATTTGTGTGCACTGGCTGCCTCCCCCAAGGCAGGGTTCACGAGGTCAGCATTGGATGTGAGGAAGACAAGGGTTTTATAACTCAGAGGTAGGGGGTTTCCATATGGGGGATTTGGTAGGCAAAATAGGAAGGGTTACAGAAGCAGAACATAGCAAGGTGGTCATTAACAACATCCTCCGAAAACAAAGGTAGGGTGGCAAGATGGTTATAACAGCTCTCTAAAACAAAGACATGGTTGCCATTTCTTGGAACAGGCAGTACAGAACCATCTGTAATTAAGGTTACAGGTGGGCATAGCCCAATCCTTGAGAAACATGTTTAATCATAAACAGGAATGAACCTCGTCTGTCTTTACTATAAGATGACTTTCAAGCCTAAGATGGAGGCAGACCGGTCCATCAGTAGCACAGCTGTTTCAGGAAATGTGTTGAACACCTGGGAAGGGGTGGTGGCGTGAGAACGCCATACAAATAAAGGCTTGAATTTACACCACTTACAACACAGCTTGCCCATGCACACACCACATATCAAGTTCCAGGCCAGCCAAGGCTACATAGAGAGAGCTTCTCTGAAAAAGAAAAAAAAATATCTGATGGTTCATTTTCAAGATAAAAAAATATTTTAGGTCAGATCAGGTCCAAATACGAATAACAAAAATTGTTGAGCCCCTGCTAGCTCCTGCTAATCTGGCTATTACACCACGCCCCCCCAAACTCTGCTAAGCTAACTCCGCTACCCAAACTAGAAGTTTAGAGTAGACAATTACCCACAGCCAAGCTTGCCTGCAAGTCACACACCCAGTAAGCTTTAGAACAAACAGAGTATGAAACAGAGATAAACCTACTATTGGTTTTTGTTGGGGAAAAAAAAAATAAAAGTGACAGGGGAAGACAAGACCTAGATGGTGTGTAAGACTGTATTGCCCTGCATTGTTAGGCTGCATGCTGTTAGCCCCATGGCAGGACAGAGAGCTAGTGTGCATATAAGACAGAGCAGAGGCTTCCCAGAGGAGCACATCCAATCCTTCAACAGGGCTTCAGTAAGTAGCTATGGGGGAGGAGGCCATTCCAGGCAAAGGCAGCCTTGTCTGTGCCTATACCCACTGCCCTCAACCCCGCCCTTTCCAGCTCCCAGAAGGAAGTCTCAACACCTCACCCTGCCATCTTCTCCCATCGCCCCTCCTCATTCTGACGTCACCTTCTTGTCACCAGCATCCACAGCGAGGTAACTAAGGCAACAGGGGTCTTTGGCCAGTCTGGGAAGACAAGCTGAAGCAGAGCTGGGTTAGAAGCCAGGATATGCAATGTGTCAGTGGAGGCTACAGGTTAACGGATGAGAGGTATGGGCAGGACACAGAGTGCTGGCCAGCCAGATGTGCCAGCTGAGTTGGGACCAGGCTGTTTCAGGAAGGAAAGCTTGTGGACTACTGGGGGGAACAACTGGATCCTATGGAGGAACACCAGGGTTCTACAGAGGAGCATCTGGGCTCTGCTCTGAAGGTCACCTGCTACGTGACCCAAACTTTGCCACACACCTCCAGAGCCATGTCGCCATGTCCACCAGGAAGGTGACAACTGGATGAGACCCAACCTCTGTAGTTATACTACTTAACTTACTCTCTGCCGGGAGGAAAATCCCTGAAAGTCCCACACACTCACTCAGAAGTTATCTCCCTTCCAAACGCAAAGCAGCAGCAGCAGCAGCAAAGGAAGACGTGAGATTGGCAGGCTGGGGCCTGACAAGGCTGTGGGTCACATCCGAGGGCGTTGCAGTCTCCAGAACTAACAGGTCTGGTCCCCTCTCCCCCACGGGCAGGTGACTGAGAGAGCCAGTTGCACAGGCTTAGGAAGGAGCTGTTTCTAGCTCGGAGCTCCCTGTTCTGCCCCTGGCTTGGGTACACTGACCTCTTGGATGGTGCAATTCAGGGGGTAGTGTACATCTCTGGGCTTTGGGTCACTCTGCGGTGACCACAGAAGGTACTACCTGCTTGCTGCTGAGTTCCTGAGTCACATGGATGAGGTCACTCAGCTCCCCCTCAGCCTGTAACAGCGCATTCAAGGCTCAGGGAAGATTTTCCTTAACCTGTCTTACTCATCCTAAGACTAAAATTGCACCACGTGGTGCCCCTGGGGCAAATTACCTGCAAAGTTAATACCACGAACCTCCTTGTCTCATCCTGAGACACAACAAATTCCTCTGTGTCAGGCTCACTGAGGGGCCCTCATCCAAACTGTGACCTGTTCTTCACAAACTACACTTTGCATTTGCAACATTAAAAAGAACCATTTGTGCCATGAACCACTTCATTCAGGGAAGCTTCTTGACTCAGACTGATGTACCCTCTCCTCTTTCTTCCAACTGTATTAAGTCCTGGCCTAGATGCCTCCAACCAATACAATAGTCAGAGTCCAGAGTGGACCACCATGGCCTTGCTGTGGAAGCCAAGGGCACTACTACACTGCTATTCTCTTCTTATGGGGAAGGGGATACAGACAGCAAATCCAGTGTCTCTACTGACCAAATCCCAGATTGTGTGTGCTCGTGCATGGTAGCCTAAAGAAGCCAGAGTGTCATCATATCCCCTGAAGCTGGAGTTACAGGTAGTTGCGTGCTGTCCAATATGGGTGTTGGGAACTGGACTTCAATTCTCTAAGAGAAACAGCAAGTGCTCTTAACACAGAGTCATTTCTCTAGCCCCAGCTCCTACACTCATCAAACAATGAAACCTGTGTTCACTCTTTCAGGGCTGCAAAATCCACACAGCTCCCGAGGGCAGTAGTGGGTAGCAGGGCAATCCACACATTCTTGGCCAGGTTGGATGGGTCTTCTGTTTGTTGAGCACTATTACCAAGCGTAGTTTTAAGCCCAGGAGCATAGAGATGACTAAGAGGAAGACAGCTTCCTGTCGGGTAGCCGGCACTTCCAGATGTGAATGAAATCTTACAGAAGTTTGTCTCCAGGGTTCTCTTTCCAGCCTGCAGGAGCACACATGTGTAAGCCCAGTACTTAGGAGCAGGCTCAGGCAGGAGGATTGCGTGACTTTGAGGCATAGTGAATCCCAGGGCAGTCTGAGCTACAGTGTCTCGAAAAACCCCAAAGAGGTGCTGGGAGCAGAGCTCTTTTTCCAAGTCCCACACTCCTAGCTTCCATATCCACATATGTGACAGCTACCATGGCAACAGTAACCTCAGCCAGCTGCACTGAGTGCCTTCCTACTGAGTACTACATCAAGAAGGGACATACATTAATTGCATTAATCTTTCTAGCGTCCATCTTCTCACATAAATGAAGAAACTAAGACCTACGGATAAAGGAGTTCATACAGCCGGGAAGTTGCGGATCCAACCTCCAAATGCAAGAGCTTACCTAGAACACCCGTGTTAGCAGCTGCTGAGCCATCCCACTTCATGCCCAACAGATTCTTTCCCAACGTGATGACTGGGGCCTCTTCTCACCACCACCCCCAACATCTCCTGTGCTCATCTAACAACGAGGCTTAATTCCAAAGGAGATGCTGGGCGGGGCAGGGGTTCTGGAGAGATGGATCAGTGCTTAAGACCCCTTACCGCTCTTGCAGAGGACCAGGATTCAGTTCCCAGCATCCACACGGTGGTTTGCAAGCATCTGTATGTACCTCCAGTTCCAGGGGATCTGACAGCTCTCCCGACAGCAGGCCCAGGTATATATCAGGTACAGAGACATACACTTAGGCACACATAAAATTAAATAAAATAAATGTATTTTTAAAAACGAGACTCAAGGCTGTTAAGCAAACCCATGAGGGCCTATTAAAGGGTCTCAACAGTTTATTTAGGTGTAGGATAGGGATAAACACTCACTGATACAGAGAAGATTAGATGAAGAGATCCGGCTGCTGTGTCACGCTGTCCTGAACAGGGGAGACGGGGACCAGCCACTCCTGGCGAGAGTGAGAGCACTGAACCCCCTCTCTTCTTCAGCTCTTAAACTGTCGTGTAACAGAAAAGATCACACCCTAGGGCTTGCTGCCCCAAAGGTAATTGACTAAACTGATTGGAATCCCACAATACAAGGCTTTAAGGGAGATAGCTCAGTCAGTAAAGCACGTGCCTTGCAAGCTCAAATACTTGAAACCCCAGAACCCAGGCAAAACTAAATAAAAACCAGGCATGGTGGTACCCATATGAAACCCCAGTGCTGGAGAGGCAAAGGCAAGCAGATCCCGGGGCTCACTGCCAGCCAGCCTAACCTACCTGAAGAGTTCCTAGACGGAGACCACGGCTAATGGAAGAGGAGGGAGGGGGAGAAAGGGGGAAAACAAAGGCAAGAAAGATCAAAGCAAGACAAGGCAAACACCTAAGGAATGACACCCAGGGTTGTCTTCTGAATGCCACACGCATGCACACAAACACGCGTGCACGTGTGCGCGAGTGCACACACACACACACAAGAAGGGGGTATTGCTCTCACATAATTGTTCAGGTTGGTATGCTGAGCAGCCTCAACTGTGGAGTATCTGACTGTGTAAAGGTTGAGTTACATTTGTTTATGCTGTGGAATATTACTTAACTGTGTGAAGGTGTGTTACATTTGTTTATGCTGTGGAATATTACTTTAACTATGTAAAGGTGTGTTACATTTGTTTGTGCTGCATTTGTTTAATGATGAAAGACGTGTGTTTACTTATGTAAAGATGTGTTGCATTTGTTTCATCATGCCTGCCTAAGGCACCTGACTGGTCTAATTAAAAAGCCGAATGGCCAAAAGCTAGGCAGGAGAGGGGGGCTAGGTGGGGCTGCCTGGCAGAGAGAATAAGTAGGAGGAGAAAATCTAGGAATGAGGAAAGAACGAGAGAGGAGAGGAGAAAATGAGAGAGACGCCTGGGGCCAGAAGCCAGACATAGAGACAGCAGGAAAGTAAAATACGCAGAAAGAAAAGGTTAAAAGCCCCGAGGCAAACTGTAGATAAAGAGAAACAGGGTAAGTTATAAGAGCTAGCAAGAAACGAGGATAAGATAAGGGTAAGCATTCATAACTGTGTCATGATTTGGGAACTGGTTAGTGGCCCAAAAGAAAAACCCTGGAACACTCAATGCTGGCTCCTTCTCTGGGAGGCTCCGCTGTGTGTGGAGAGCACGGGGATGCTGGGGTGTGAGCATGCTTGCCTCATGCAAGCACCATTATAATTTAAGGTGTGATTTTATTCCATTCTTCCCACTCTGGGCACTTCACGGGGAAGAGTACAGAATTTGGGGTGTCAGCTAGCATTGTCCATCTGCCTAACAACTCCTCTGTGGTGCACACCATCCTGGGTACCCCTTCCCTCTCCTTGGGTGGGGCTTCTGCTTCCTTTCTAGAGAGAGGTACATCAACCTTGAAACTAGAAAAACATTACTGGGCATCACCTTCCATAGGCTGGGCGCCCCTGCCTGTATGCCTCTGTAACACTTGAAAAGGAACGTATTTTATACCCCACCCCCCCACACACACCCATGCGTACCATCACACAGTTCCATACAGAATATAGAGTATCGTTGAGTGGCTTCCGGAACTTTAGGACCTGACTAAGCAAATGTTAAATTCCTGAAGACACATTTCACTGAAGTTTGGCAAGACATATTTCCCTAACTCAAAGCCACGTTATAGTTCATTTGCCTACTATCGTAGTAATGGCCTCGATGAGTCTTCCATCCACCCACAGGGCTGAGTCACAGGAACAAGCCCACAGCAGCATCCCCTTGTGAACCTGCCCAGCCCGGGCCAACATCAGAAGTCTGTGGGTAGTTCTAGAAGATGAATACAATTCAAGGTAGGCAGAGCCAGAAACAGCCAGCCCATGACTGTTTTTTTCCAGCTAAAACATGGTTACTTGGAAGTACTCATGAGGTCTGAGGCCAGTCTGGTCTAAATAGGAAGCTCCAGGACAACCAAGACTGCATCGTGAAACCCTTCTAGAAAAACATAGATAGATAGATAGATAGATAGATAGATAGATAGATAGATAGATAGCCAGCCTCAGTGGGAAAAAGCTCTTACCACCAAACCTGGCAGCCTGAGTTCAATCCCTAGGACCTATGGTGGTAGTAAGAGAAACCAGGTATCCTCTGACTTCCATATGCAAACTTTGTCATAGGCATGTCCACATACAAATTAAATAAATGTAAAAAAATAAAAATCAGTAAAAACCTAAGCATAATACTCAGTTCTCACTATGTCTTATCAAAAAATTTGTTTTCTATCAAAGATAATTTCCAGATCATTACAACATGAATAATTGTAAATATATAATCTTCACATATGCATGTGTGTGTGTTGGGTGTTGAGGTGGGGTCTCGTGTGATCCAGACTGTGGTTAAACTCACTATATAGCTGAGTCTGACCTTATATATTCCTGATGCTACTGTGTTCACCTCCCAAGCACTGAGATTACAGGTGTACACTGTCAAGCTTTGATATGTATGTTTAACAGGAATCACAGAAACGGAATTTGTAAGAATTCCTAAATTTGTAAGGCCCATGAAAGCAGTGGCCATGTGAACCGCAAGTACATTTCTGGGTGAAGCCATATTTTGTGTACCTCATCAACGGTTTCTTATAAGATGTACCTTGCAAAATGACCTAAAAATGACGTAATAAGCAGATATGGTAAAGATATTACGTTACTTTTCTGGATTTGGAGACATTTGTGATCTTTTAAAAAATTCTTTCAAGTTTGTAATTTGTCATAATTTTGCTCTTTATTCTAAATAATTACCTTTTATACCTGATTTTAGAATTTGTAACTTTATATTCCTAATCTGGTTAGGCTTTTTGTTTGTTGCTCTTGTTTTCTGTTTTTTTCATGTGTTTTAGCTTCTAGAAACATATTTCCACCCTTCCTATGTTTCATGTATTTCTTTCCTCTTCTCTTGGTTTTTCAGGAGAGGGCTTTTCTGTGTAGCCTTGGCTGTCCTGGAAGTAGCTCCATGGATCAGGCTGGTCTCAAACTCAGAAATTCACCTGCCTCTGCCTCCTGAGTGCTGGGATCACAGGCGTGTGACACCACAGCTCGGCTCCATCTATTTCTTTTAAAGGAAATGTATTCCGTGTGTGTGTGTGTGTGTGTGTGTGTGTGTGTGTGTGTGTGTGTGTGTGTGCAAATAAACCTGCACCTGTGGAGATAAGAGGGCAACTTTGGGTGTTGGCTCCCTCTACCATGTGGGTCCTAGAGAGGCAACTCAAGTGGTCTGGCTTAGCAACATGAATTTTCGCTCACAGAGCCATCTTGCCAGCCCTTATGTATTTCTTATTTTAATGGAATGTGTCCCCCAGTATTTTCCTATAAAAAAGGTGTATGGAGACACCCACTCCCTGTGCTATTCTCTTTCTGTCTTAACGCTTCTGGTAGCTTTTCTGTGCCTATGATTTTCAGAAGTTACCTTCCTTCCGGTTTTTGAAAGCACTGTCTTCCAGCTTCCTGGGCTGCTCTTGAGAAATAAATCCAAGTCATCTCCATGATTGTTCTTTTTGGTAAGGACTGAATGACGTCAGTGACCTCTTGTTTCATGTGCTCTTTTCCAGGGAACCCACTGGAGCTCATGAGTTGCAGCTCAATGCTCCTCCCTCAGGGTCTTGTGTGAGGGAAACAGGGCCCTGGACCACTGAGTTACACCTCCAGCCTCTCCACTTGGTTTTTTAAAAATATCTACTACCGTCGTATTTTTCCCCAAATTTTGCTTTTGTTTTTTTCGAGACAGGGTTTTTCTGTGTAGCTGTGACTGTCCTGGAACTCACACTGTAGACCATGCTGGCCTCTAACTCAGAGATCTACCTGCACCTGCCCCTTTTGGGTGCCTACATCTCTCTAAGATTATTTTTGTATGGCTTTGCTTTCCTCTTCTCCTGTACAGCCTTTCCCCACCATGTTACCTTCTTTTGTTTAGTAAGTCAGTTTTCAAAGTTCCCCCTTAGAAGTGGGAGCTGCATTGTGGGCTCTTTTTTTTTTTTTTTTTTTTTTTTTGGTTTTTCGAGACAGGGTTTCTCTGTGGCTTTGGAGGCTGTCCTGGAACTAACTCTTGTAGACCAGGCTGGCCTCGAACTCACAGAGATCCACCTGCCTCTGCCTCCCAAGTGCTGCATTGTGGGCTCTTATATCTAACTACACTAACAAGCTAGCGCCCTCATGGGTGGAGCTAGCCAGTCCGTTGAGGGGTCAGTAGGCATCTTTGGCCTGCTCAGATTTCTGGGAGAGCCTTCACATCTAGCAGGGAGGATGAGCAGTTGATGGGCCATGGACTTCCAGCATTCTGGAGGCATGCATTCTCTGAATCTATCTTTAGAAAGCTTCCCAGGCCCTCAGCTATGCCAGCAGCTCTGTGCACAGATCCCTAGGATTCTGTGTTGCCAGAAGCAGTTGCTCAGCCAGGAAGGCAGGAAGCGGCTTCTGGAGCTAACTAGAGGACTTCTCTGCAGCCCTCTCCCAGCCTTCCTTGTTAGAGCAGCTCCAGCTAAAAACATCCCCTCACCCCCAGGCTTGGAACTGGAGCAGCCATTTCCTGAGTGCTGTGGATTTCACATTGTAAATCCTGTTGCCAACCTCCCCCTGGCTAGAGAAGGGTTCTACCTTTCTCTTGGCTCCCTAAGCATTTATAGCCTCTCTTTCTGCCACAGGATCATTTTTACTGCTGTCTTTTCTTCTCCACATCTGTGTTAACTTCTGTGCTTTAAAAATCTCTGTTCTTTCAGCCTGTGTAAAGGAGTTTCAAGAGAAGTCAAAATAGGTGGGGTAGTTGAATAGGAAAATAAATAAATAAAAAGGAAAGGAAAGGACATGACTGCTCCTAGGTATGATGGAGGAGAGTTTATTGTAGATAAAATGGGAGCATTGGTAGAAGCAGGGACGTCTGGGGAAGCCCAGAGTGGACATGACCAGGCTGAGTTGTGAGAGACGAGGAGGGGAAGAGGGAGAGGAGAGAGGGGAACCAGGTGCAGCAGCCAGGAGGTCAAAGGTCCAAAATGGGTGGGTAATGAAAATGTCTGGATTGTATAGGAAGAGCCTCTGGGGGAAGGGCAGCCCAGTCCCTGGGCTGGAGAGTTCTGGGTAGAATATGGGGTACACTGAGATCCACACCCTATAACAGGTAGGAACTGAGGGATGCCAGGTGTTTTGATATGTTAAATAGGCACCTCGGCCATTAGTCCTGTTCTATTACTTTATTTTACTGTTATTTGAGACAGAGTCTCTCTCTGTACAGTCCAGGCTAGCCTTAAACCTGCGATCCTCCTGCATCAGTCTCAGCATGAAGTCAGCCAGACACAGGGTCTATTTTATTTTTTTATTTTTTTGGTTTTTCGAGACAGGGTTTCTCTGTGGCTTTGGAGGCTGTCCTGGAACTAGCTCTTATAGACCAGGCTGGCCTCGAACTCACAGAGATCCGCCTGCCTCTGCCTCCCGAGTGCTGGGATTAAAGGTGTGCGCCACCAACACCCGGCCAGGGTCTATTTTAAATTCTTAAAAATTATGCTGGTGTTTATTTTTGTGTGGCACACACATCACAGCACCCATAAGGAGGTCAGAGGACAACTTACAGGGATGAGGTCTCCCTGTCTATCATGTGGGCCTGGGGGGCTCAAACTCTTATAAGGCCTGGTACCAGGTCCCTTGACTTGCTGAACCGTCTTTCCCATCCCTCTCAGCCTGCCATTGCTCTCAAGCAGCAAGCGGATTTAATGGCCCAAATTCCCTTGACTCCTCCCATTTGGCCACACGAAGAAGACTGAGCTCAAAACTGGTCGGTGACTTAGTCTTCATATCTAGGAGAGGTCCATTTCCAGAATGCCGGTGTCAACGGTTCTACCCATGAAGTCGGTTAACCAAGGTTGGAGAAACGAGTTGCAAGTGAAATAATTTGCTCCTTAGGCTCAGCTTGCCAAGTAGCATTTTTGAGAGTTCTCTCTCCCCATTGTTGCTTTCCCTGGGAAACAATGTGTTTGTTTAGTGACATGCGAGTCTCTGCCTAGAATGACAAACAAACAAAAAACAAAAAAAAACCCACGAAAATCTGCTTTTATAGTCAGCATAAACTTTGTTTTTTAAAGTTTAGCTTTTTCATCTAGACTTTGTTTTCTTTGCTGGACATGGTAGCACACATCGTAGCTTGGTCTACATAGCGAGCTCCCAGCCAGCCAGGACTTCACTGAGAGACCGACTCAAAACAAAATAACAGTAACAAAAAGATTTTCTTTCTGTTAATGAACAGGTACTCGATTCAGCAGGGAGAACCAAGAATTGTCGGGGAGGGGAGTGAATTTAGGAGGGTAGTGAATTTAGGATCCTAAGTCTGAGAAGCCCCCTAGTTTACAGGCGCTGTGATAAGGTCGGGCCTCAGCCACTCAGCTGGAGAGTGTTTGCTTTATTCTTCAAGGGAAATGGGGAGGGAGGGAGAGAGAGAGGGGATGCTCCAAAGCTGAGACTTCTCATCTCTGTTGATGGCCAACCAAGGCTGGGGAGATATGACAGGCTCAGCTTTCTCCAGGAGCTAAAGAGAAGTTGGGGGTCACACTTTGATGCTGGGGCATGGACTTCTGTTCCTGTCCTAGGTTGCTTGAGTGGTCTGAGTGGCCATGGAAACCTTTGGGCTGAATCCTGGCCTGCCAACCAAGAGTTCCTGAACCATCTACCATCATTATTTATGGTCCAGGTCATGGTGTGGCCTTAGAGCAATGGTTCTCAACCTGTGGGTCGCCCCCCCCAGACCTTTTCATAGGAGTCATCTAAGACTACGGAAAAACACAGATATTTACATTGCGATTCATAACAGTAGCAAAATTACAGTTATGGGGTAGCAGCGAAAATAATTTTATGGCTGGGGGTCACCACGACATAAGGAACTGTACTAAGGGGTCGCAGCTGTTAGGAAGGTTGAGAACCACAGGCCTAGAGGACAGAAGGAGACCCCACAAGACCTCTGAAACCAGAGGCAGGTGGCCCAGCTGCGTCTGAAAAGGGACTGGATGCCGGCAACACTGGTAGGACAGACCCAACTTCTGATTGGAATCCTTCGCACCCACTCAATAGCACTGCACACGGCCCCACAGGAAGATTCCCGATCTAAACAGGCACACAGGGACGGCGAAGTGAGGGGGAGCTGGCTATCACCAAGGTCCTTTGGACTTTGAGAAAGGAACTGAAGCCGGGGAGGCGGGGACAAATTGGCCTCAAGGCTACTGGCCAAGGGAAGGTAGTACCTGAGCAGAAGCAGGAAGTGGAGGAGGCCGGGTAGGAAGCCTGGGTCACCGACGCTCCCGCTGAGCCGGCTGGGCGGGGTCCTGCGTGCAGGTGAGCAGCGGGGTAGGGCGGGGCGCAGCTGCGTATCGGTACCCCGGCGCTGCTTAGGCCTCCAGCAGACACAGGCCACAAGTCGTGCCCTACGGAGGCCCAGGCGCCTCCAGAGTCATGGCCCGCTCGGCCTGCGGGTTTCCAGTCGCACTACTGGGCGCCCTGCTGCTGGGTACAGCGCGCCTGCCGCACGGGACAGGTAAGAGCGATCTGTGGCCAGGGAGGCGCCTGGACGTGACGCGCGCAATCCCGACCGGGTAGCATGGTCGGAGAGCTTTGGCGGCGCCAAGGGCTTAGGACGACTCGCCCGGCGCGCGGGCCGCGGCACATGGGAGAGTCCTGAACCTGGGGGAGCTCCGTGCTGGCCCAGGATAGAAAAGCGCACGGAACAAGCCTTAGGAGGATGCGCTCAAGGTGTCGCGTTGTGTCCTAGGGACTTTGCTGAGACGTAGCGACACCCGATTAGGGCATGGGAGAGCTTTCCTCTCCGAGCCCATCCTCCACCTGGGCCAGCAAAGTGCAAGAGTTTGACGTCCCACTGGGGTACCTCTTTACCTGTCCGAGTGCCCCACTATCCTGAGGTCCAGGAGCATCCACTCGAAAGGACAGCTCCAAGTGGACAGTCACGGACCAAGTGGACAGCAGCGGGCATCTAGCTGCGGAGCCCCACGGGTGCCCCGGCCCTTCCTTGGTGGAAGACTGGACAGCTGTTTCTTCGAGTCTGTGAATTTCAAGTAGTTTGGGTTGAGAGCAGAGGCCGCCCTTACTCGGAGGTCTGCTCCAGGAAAGAACCCGAACTGTGGGTCCTGGGTGTAGAATACCGCCAATGACTAGCTTTGTTCAAGTAAGAACTTGACGTGAGGCTCTTTCTGAGCCGCCTACAGGTTTTTTGTTTTTGTTTTTTTAAATAGTGCTGTCCAAATCGTGATTGAGGTCTGTGATATCTTTTGCAACGCCGAAGGGGGTGTTTGTGTTTCACAGGTAGATAAATTAGTATACATTAAAGATAAAACTGAAATGGGGGGGTGAACTTGGGCATAAACCTCAGGAAAACTTCCTGGTTCCTTTTTTCGGACATTAGGTGATATATTACTGCATAGTAGACAGAAATATTTAAGAGCTCATTTGAAGTCACACTCACGCACACATGCACACACACACACATTGTGGTATGTACTTTGTTGTTGCTGGAGTTTGGTTTGTGTTTTACTGAGGCCTCCAGGCTGCTAGAATTCATTACAGATGTGGGCAACCACCGTACTTTCTTAGGACTGAATTTTCAATCGATTTAAGGGATAGAGTATGTAGTCCAGTGTGTAGCGTGCCCGACTAGCATGTACAGAGCTGTAGGTTCAATTCCTAGGGCTTCATAAACTGAGCTTGGTGGCCCATGCTTGTGATCCTAGCATTCTGGAGGTGGAGGCAGGAAAACCAGGAATTCAAGGTCATCCTCAGTCACAACTCTTGGCTGGTTCAAGCCATATGAAATTTTGTCTTAAAAATACATTCTAATAATAAAAAAAATAGGGAGGGAAGATGTGCATGAGAGAGAGGGGTGGTGTGGTGTGTGCCAGCGCTGTTGAAGGCAGGTGACACTCTACAGTCTGTTTTGAGATGTTTCTGGCTTCCTATGATAATAGTTGAAAACTTCCCCAGCAAGAACATGGTATATAAGTCCAGCCATCACTGAATACAAGATCCGCAGCCTGATCTGAACTGGCTGCTGTCAGTCTACACCACCTGAGAAGTAGACAGAGTTTATTCTTAGACCTGTGGGAACATGGATTCTTGAAGTGGTTACATGAACTTTCATGATCACCAAACAAAAGAAAGTTGTAATTCAAGGCATTTTCTAAATACGTTGGTGGGGGCATCAGCAGGTGGGTTACTTCAAGTAGCGAAGTCTCTGAGCTAGGTCTTACATGATGTCTGATGGCATTCTTGGCTGTTGGGTTCGCAGAAGCTAATGATCTCCTAAGTTAATAAAAACCAAAGTGGGTGATAAATGGCTATTAAGGGGACTAAAGGACTCTCGACCTGTAACATTCCAGCTCTCTGTAGTTAGGAAGCTCAAATGAACCTGCCAGTCTGCAGGATCTTCAGCACAGATGTGGGTCTTCAGGGTGCGTCGAGTCACATGTCACACGTCTCACTCAGTTCCCAGAAGCTCCTCCACTCAAGTCCTTCCTTCCAGGAAGGTGTGTGCTAGCTGAGTCGTGTAAATGCCAGGAATTTTACCAAATTCACTTTCTTCTGTGACCTCAGGAGAGGGGCTGACTCAGCAGTGCCCGGTTTTCCTGAAGTCGGGCGCCGTCTTCACTGGTGCTGGGCAGTGGTGGCGCAAGCCTTTAATCCCAGCACTCGGGAGGCAGAGGCAGGCCGATCTTTGTGAGTTCGAGACCATCCTAGTCTACAAGAGCTAGTTCCAGGACAGCCTCCAAAGCCACAGGGAAACCCTGTCTCAAAAACACCAAAAAACAAACAAAACCACCGTGCTGCTTGCCTGCAAGAACTGCCTGATACTAGAGTCAGGTCAGTGACTCCATTGTCTTGCTTTCATTGCTCTTCCAAAACTATAAATGACACAAATTCAAATGAGGACTCTGGCTGTTGTCTGGAGGTGTTACTAGTAGGAGGCGGAGTTCCACAGCCCTCCCCCACACCCCACACAAATTGCCCTGGGGTGAGTCATAGGAGACATTCAGGACTTCTTGTCATCCAGGACTCTCCTCAGAGTTCACCTTTGCTCACAGATAATGTTTTGTTCTACTTGGGTTGTATATATTGCAAAATTCTCCAGAATAATTATGATACATAAAGCATTTTTTTTTTAGAGCTAGGGAATGTAGCTCAATTGTCAGAGCTTTTGCCCAGCATATAAAAAGCCCTGTTTTGCTTTTGTTTGTTCGGTTTTGACTTTTTGAGACAGGGCTTCTTTGTGTAGCTTTGGCTGTCCTAGAATTAACTCTTAGAGATCTGCCTGCCTCTGCCTCCCGGAGTGCTGGGATTAAAGGTGTGCACCCTGCTCTTCAAAGCCTTGGTTTTAATCCCCAGCACTGCATAAACAAGGCATGGTCTCTCACTTGGGAGACAGAGGCTGGAGGATCACAAGTTTGAGGTCATCCTACATAACAAGTTCCAAGTTATACTGGTCCACATGAATGGACGCTCACACCACATTGTTCCTTCTGATAGTTCTATTCAGTGGACAGGTATTAAGAATTACATGGTAAAGCGTAAGAAAAATGGCTCAGTGGGCTAATAAGGCATTTGTCATAGAGCCTGACAACTTGAATTCAATCCCCTGGACTCACATAGTAATAAAGAGGCTACTCCCCAAGTTGTCCTCTGAGCTACACACATACACACATACTCACATACACACACACACACACACACATACTCACACTCACACACCCACATGTACACCTGCAAATATTCGCTTATGGAACAAACCTCAACTCACTTCTGCTCAGCAGAGCTAATGGGGAGGGGACGGAAGGGTGAGGTCACTGTGTAAGGCAGTGGAGAGTAGCCAGACCCCCGATGGGGGGGACTGGTGGCTGAGGTCCTCTGCTTTGTTGATTAAGAAAAGTTCACGCCCTTTAATTGTAACTCCAAACTATAAAAATTATCCCGCAATCAAATTATTTCAAGTCACTCACCACAACCTTGTAATTAGCCCATCTCACCTTCTTCGGAGAGTCTGAAAACTTAGACAAACTGACAGGAAGAACCCAGGGGCCCCGCCTTCGTTAAGCAGATCCTTTGTTTGTAGTTTCTAGAATTACTGGCTACTGCCACTCCTCCCAGCAGCCCAAGCATAAGAAGCATTTTCTGTGAAAGACTCTTCGCTACTTTGTTTTGGTATTTCCGCTTAATGTCAGCAATCCCCTCCTGAAAGCCAATCATCGTGATGCCCTGAGTCTCATTATCTCATGGTGGGGGCAGTTACTAGCCTGTTGTTTGGCCATGCAGAGCCCCCAACAGGTTCTGAATGTGTAGGGAAACACAGATAGATACTCACGTGTAATTAAAAACCAGTGTTATTAAGTGTGAAGTCCAAACAGCAGTGACCAGAGATTGCCAGGCCATACATGGAATTTATCACAAATGGTCTCTTGGCATAGGGTAACCCACTTCACCTCCCTTTGTGGACACCCCAGGACCTCTACCAGCCCCTGACCTCCTCAGTTCTAGTATGTGGGACACAAGCAGAGACTCTCAGCACATCTTTTTAAGTGTTGTTTGGAGTTATAAACGTATGCTTCCAAAACAGACGTTGGTCAGTGTACCTTTGATGAAGGAAATAGAAGCCATAATGTTTGAACAATTAAAAATGAGGCTCTTTTTTTCTCCAGAGAAAATACAGACAGGGAGGGGGGGTGCATGAACGGGCCTTGACATTCCCAAGCAAAGAGGCAGGCACAGAGAGCTGAAATGACTTGCCCGAGGTAACCTAGCTGGTTACAGGGATGCTGAGGTGACACTTTGAACTTTTGGTCAGCTTTGAGACCTTGTCTACATCCCAGAAACTGCCCTTGACTTTAAAACAACAACAAAACCTGCATAGGACTTAGTGCTACATTTGCATTTTATTCTAGGAATGTGCGCTCTCTCTCTCTCTCTCTCTCTCTCTCTCTCGTTAAGAATTTGTTTTGCTTTGTTTTTTGGTTTCTCTGTATTGTTTGGAGGCTGTCCTGAAACTCACTCTGTAGACCAGGCTGGCCTCGAACTCACAGAGATGTCCCTGCCTCTGCCTCCTGAATGCTTAGATGAAAGGTGTGTTCCATTATCTCCCAAGTGTAGGATTGTAGGTGTGCACTGACATGCTTAGCTGAGGTGACTGATTTGTGAGTCACCCTCGTCTTAACCTTTCCCAGCAGAACTCTTTTTCTAAATCCCACCGAGTCTCCTAAGCATGTCAGAAAAGCCCTGGAAGCAAGAACGTCTCCAGGTGGTTTTCTTGAAACAGCATACATTTTATTCTCCTGCTTTGAGAACCATGGTGATCTGTGTTGCTATTGGTACCTCAGAAACGCCCGGTTGAAGGTCTGTCCCGAAACAGAAGCCACCGTGAAGGATATGCAACTTCCCTATCTCTCCTGGTGCACGGCCTTCTAGCCACCTGCTAATGGACAAGCTTGTGTGTGGTGTTATTGGTGGCCTTTTGAAACAGGATCTCACTATGCATTCCTG